AAGGATATGCAATATCAAGGATATGCAATATTTAGAAATTCATGTTAAAATTGATAAGCAGTTTATACATGCATAAGCACCCATACATGTAGACTACTCCAAAATAGTATGACGTACATGTATACATGGGCGGATCCGGCTTTTTGAAAAAGAGAGGGTCCAGTAAGAAATAAAGGGCACTTTTATAAAAAAAAAAAAGGTGCCGAAGGCAGGTTATGCGACGTGTCTAAGGGGACTTAGGGGCCTGCCACTTAGGGGGGGGGTTAGGGGGACCTCCCCCAAGAAAAATTTTAAAAATTGGTGCATTCTGAGAGCATCTAAGCAGTAATTTTGATGTCTAGAATGCAAGATGGAATTCCCAATTTTTAAGCAGAAAATTATCTTTTATGTGTTTTCCCTTTTTTGGGGTAAAAAAGGGGGGTTCGGACCCCCTGGACCCCCCCTCTGGATACACATACCACATCCAACTGAGAAACAAGTCTACTGAAATAAAATCTGTGATAATAAAGAGTATATTACGTTAATTTAAAGTAAGGGGTGGGGGTCTGGGGGTCTTGCCCCAGGAAATTCTTGAAAATTGGGTCACCTGAAAGGTAAATTCCTGCATTCTGAGAAGGATACATACAATTCTAGATTCAGAAAAATGAAAAGCCCTTAAAAATAGGAAAAAATAGGAATTTGTCCAGAAAATAGGAGAAAATAGGAATTGCCCAGAAAATAGGAAAAAATAGGAATTTGTCCAGAAAATAGGAGAAAATAGGAATTGCCCAGAAAATAGGAAAAAATAGGAAAAATAGGAACTTGACGCCCTACATGTATCCTGGCTATTGTATATGTAACGCCCCTATACGGGTACAGGGGGCTAAAATGATAAAAGATGAGAAGAACACAATTACTTGGTTGTGAAAATGGCGTCAGCATGTGGAATGGCCACAATTTATTACTCTCATAATTGTCACCATAACCAAAACATTCATAATCATAAAGAGTAAAAAATATACAAACAGTCATGAACCTCAAAGTAACAAGAACTTGTTCATGCTTCAGTCTTAAATTGACCAATAAATCAAACTAATGACATAAACTACAAATCTTTTCATATGCTCGGCTTCCTCCAAAGTTCTATTCACGACACAATTAAGGTCTTAATGCTTCTATATGCATTTGTAATAAAAGTCTTATTCCTCAACTAATCCGATAATAACCCAATTTAAATTACAGTGTGAACGCAGCTCACATTCTGATAATACATATTAAATCACTGTTATTATCACATATCTTGGTCTTTCTGCACTTCCGGCTTGGTTTCACAGTTTTCGAGGAGATCACAAGGGAGCAACATGTTCCGATGGAGGACTCGCTCTTTCCCTGGACCACTTTCTGGTCTCACTTCGTACACAGGCAAGTCGTCTCCCATCTGTTTTACCACACGATATACTCGGTCCTCCCAGTATGCTTTCAGCTTAGCTGGTCCCTCGGTTCGTTGCATATTTCGGACCAGAACACGATCTCCAGGCGACACTGCTGCAGTTTTCGCCCTTTTGTCATACATTTGTTTCCTTCGGTCTGCTGTTTGACCCATGTTCTTGGTGGCAATGTCATACGCTT